CCAAACTGTCACATTCATATTTTCAGTGGGGTAGTTTTAGAGTTATTTGAATAGATATAAAAGTATAAATCAGCGTGTACTGACCATGTAGAGGGTGTCAGGGATGCGGTGCAGGTAGCGCGCGCGCCGCACGCGGGACACCTCCGCCTCCGGCACCGCCTGCTCCTCCAGCAGCGCCTGACACATCACTTAGTTACTTTAATATACTAGCTGTTCCGATGCGTCTTCATCCGCATAAAGTTATAAAAATTTCATTTTATTGTTCACATTTATCGAATTATCAATTGCTAATGTCAAAATTATCGTTGCCATAATATCTTTGTTACTTTAATGTTGGCAACTTGTAGTTTACGGTCTCTTTCCCATGTGTAGGGTTTTTTTCAATTTATTAACCCCATAATTTTAATAAAGAATAAACACACACTTCTTTGTTGTTCATGTCAGCAATTACAACATATTTTTGAATAATTCTTTTTTCAATAAAAAGCCCAACACTTACGTCATGCTTTAGGCTATATATTTTCACACCATTAAACTTAGAGGATAAATATTTTGGATAAAATCCCTAATGTGGGAAAGAGACCATAAGTTACTGCCAACATCAAGGAAGCAAGATTGCCAAGGTTTGTTGTCATGTCATTTTGACATTTGCAATTGATAATTTGACAAATGTGAACAATAAAATGAAATTTTCATAATTTGATACGGATGAAGCCGCACGGGAACAGCTAGTCAAATAAAGTTGTTCGCCATCTTGTAATTCTTGTTTTGAATGTGTGTTGTGTTGTGTATTGTATAATGTACTTTAATTTCATCTAGATAAGGCAGGAAGCAGCGCGGGGGGCGCGCGCCGCCGCCCAGCCACGCCGCCGCGCCCCCGCCACCGCCCGCGCCGCGCTCCGCCTGCGGGGGCGGCACCGCGCCGCGCCGCACTGCCTGCGAATACACAACAAACAACAAATAAACAATCAATGCCACACACAAACAACAAATAAACACTCAATGCCACACACAAACAACAAATAAACACTCAATGCCACACACAAATAACAAATAAACACTCAATGCCACACACAAACTACTATCAGTACTGCGCCGGAGTAGCAATATCTCACACCTGTTAAGGTCATTCAGTTAATTGGGAATATTCGAAATTCCGAAATTCAGGCAGGATACATTTATATAAATTAATTGTGCAAAAGGTGGCAAGGTCTGGTAATGCAATGACGAACAGTTGTTCCTGTGCACGTTTTCATACGACCACTTTACACAAGTATTTACACAGAAGTAGTTATATAGTTGTATTATATCTAAGCCATGAAGTGTTTGTGTGGCATATGATTTATAAAGTATCTGTAGCATATGTTGATCTCGTCATAAAGTGTTAGTGTGGCATAACATATTAACATCATAAAGTGTCTGTGGCATTATATGTCGATATCGACATAAAATACCAGTGTGGCATTGCATATAAATGTCGGTGTGGCATGTGACGTCACCTGTTGCAGCAGGTCGCAGTCCTGCGGCAGGTGCTCAAGGCGCACCAGCGGCAGCAGCGCGGCGAGCACCTCGCGCACCGCCTGCTCGCCACTCTCGCGCCGGCGCGCGCCGCGGCGCGACACAGAGTGCGCCGTGTGCCAGATCACGTTCGGCTCTGTGACACAATACATACATTGTATGGACTTTCTAGCAGTCCAGTTATGCACTGTCAAACTGTACTGTCTAATTATGAACCGCGCATATCAAGCGTAGAGTCTGTGGCATTTCTAATTCCAATGCCACCACAACACAGAAGACAAAAGTAAAGGAGAAGTAATTCCTTAGTTCGATTGACAAATGTGGGTGCCGGAGTCTTAGTCTCTTTCTCTTTCCACTTTTTTGGATAAAGGAGGATTAGGGTCGATTTGACGGTGGAGGTACATAGGAAGGGGAAATATCCATCAATTATCTGATTTACACAATACTAAAATCACGTTTCTAGAGACAAAAATTAGGCCAAACAATTACATCTTTCAATTTAGAACATCATAAATTTCGCCGAATGTACTTGCGTTATTGTTTCTCCGAGTGTATGTACTAGTGTTGTTTCCTCGAGTGTACTAGTGGTGTTTCCCCGAGTGTACTAGTGTCATTTCCCCGAGGGTACTAGTGTTGTTTCCCCGACTATACTAGTGTTGTTTCCCCGACTTTACTAGTGTTGTTTCCCCGAGTGTACTAGTGTTGTTCTCACCCCTGGTGTCGTGGTGGGCGTGCTTGTTGGCGGCGCGCTCGGCCCAGCGCAGCAGCGCGCGCAACGCCTGCGCCTCGCT